GCGTGTGTTCTATACTTTGTGGGCACACAACCAAGTCTATTCTCTTTCCAGGAATGGATGTTGAGTGTGTCCAATAAACCCATTCTACTCTGTCATTGATTGTCCAGCATAGTCCCCATTGTTTATTATCAGCCTTCAGTATCCTCGCCAACTTCTGATTGAATGCCTGATCTTCACTCTGAGCATCCTCTAATACCGTCAATGTGGCTTCCTTCACACTTTCTATTGTCACTTCTTCATACTTCTGCAGATGGACTAGGGGTATACTGATGGATATCCCAATAAGGGGTATATATACTTCACATGATTTGGGTGGAGGATGTTTCGATGTGGCGGGTAGTCGATCATATATAGCCATGTACCATTCTTGACATTGGATGAAGGATCTTGCCTTGAATGTCAATGTGACTATCATTGGGTCTTTGCGACTGGTGGATCGATATCGTATACAGAAGGTATAATCTAAGGGTGAAAGAAGAAACAACTCAAGGCGCTCGGGTTTACTGGGGCCTGTCAAGTTGACATTGACTTCCAGCTTCTTCTTAGGCCATAAACATGACTAAAGAGAGCGAATGATAAGAGAAAAGTGTATTTGTATGTAAACAGATACTTACTGAATCAGTGTATGTCTCTAATGTGGTTGGATTCAGTACTAATTCTACTTGCTTCCACTTCTCGGATAACAAATCAAAGAGTGCCTCCTTTGAAGCAAAGTACTGTCTGGGCTCAGAATCATATGTAGCACTTACTGATCTCATACAGAGAATGGGTGATCGTTTGATGTGCGTATTCACTAAAGAAGTGCCTTCCTGTGTTATGTTCACTGGTGCATTAGGCTGTGTTATGAATACATCACCAACCTTTTTCCATAATAATGAAGATGATCCCGTATCTGTAGTTGTGTGAGTGTTCTGGGTGTTCTCTGATAGATTGTTATGGGCATTCTCTGATAGAGTGTTATGGGTGTTCTCGGATAGAGTGATGTGGGTATTATCTGATGAGGGGGATATGTTCTCTGCTGGAGTATACATGATCTCTGGTGGAGTGTGCTTCAATAAGCCTTGGAATGCAGGCTGTCCCTGTGTGGTATCATTCACTTGTATCGGGGCATTCTCTGTGTCATCAAGCGAGAAATAATCAGTTGTGGCACTGGTGCTCTGATCATTCATTTGGGGTGAGACAATGGACAAATGATTGTTGGATGTTGTTGATCTACTCTTCTTGGTTCTAACAGTATATGCAGTTAAAGGGTTACTAGTGCATATAAAACTTGATGTTATTATTGGTGGACAATTGTTACCTTATTATGTCATTTCCCGCTTGATCCTGTTTCATTCTAGTCAATTCATCTTGATTATATGGGCCGATTATTATACGGTTGGAGCACTCTATACGGTGCTTTTTATTGTTCTTATGTCGTGTGTTCATTGTGCTCAATAGGATAGACTGTAGTATTAGATGGTTGAGAGAGTCAATAGGTGTGTGTGTGTGTGTGATATAGGTGTTTCTAAGTGAATGATATAGGTGTGTTTGAGTGAGTGAATAAATATATTATATAGTGGGAAAGAGAGAAGAAATAAAAATGTTTAATTCAGACGTTATTTTTATTCCTCTTATACGAGGTTGAATACTTTACTAATAAGGAAATTGTCATATTATTGTCTTCTTCATGGGATAATGGATAGAGTCATGCATGTAGACACTTCTACAGTCTGTAATAGTGCATTCAATGGATGTTTATGTTGGAACATAAAATACACTTATTTTCAGACAGTTCATCACTCACAGGCGGAGTAGGGATAGAATTAGGATAAGTCATTGTCGCGTTTGTCTCTCTTTATTGTCTTCATAATCATGGTACAGTGATTAGAATAGAAAGAAGTTAGATGTCATATTAAATATAGAGTTTAGGGTTCATCAGATAAAATAGTAGGTGGTAGTGCTTGTATTGCTGCTGTTGTTATATTCATCTACTACACAACATGGTCATTAGTTCTTGTAAGTACCAGTGTCTGATCATCCTCATACTTTACTCACCCATCTTCAGCCATTCTTAAGTGAAACAAACTCGCTGCAACAACTGTTCCCTCCCTGGATACTGTCTATCTATTTACCTGCTACACTGCTTATGTTGGGTGTACTAGGAATAGCAGCTTTTGTCCTGAAGACTACATCCAAGAACAGCAACAAGCAGAAGGCAAAATAGAATAGATATATAGTTGAAATCTCTATTCATGATAATAAAGGATAGTAAACTTCAAGATATGCCCATCCTGAATAAAACAATAGCCATTCATATGTAAAAATGGGGTAGAATAGACTCTATGTTATTTGACCAGTAACAATGATACAAGTCGTATTTATTTTATATACATTCAACTAGGATAGTACACTTAATATTAATCTAGCTCTCTTAACTTCCTCACTATCTTCTATTTCTTCTGCTGCAGTGGGTACACTGGCAGCAACCTGGTTCAATAACTTCTCAGCATCAAAATCATCACCATCATCATTGGCACTGACATTCTGATATCCACTTAATGCATTGATTTTTTTGGGGATCTTAGTCTGTGCTTCCTTTCTGACATTCTATAATTAACAGTTAGTATGAATAGAGAATATTGTCTACCACAATCTTACCTCACGAGCCACTCCCTGTAATCCTTTCAGATAGAGTAAGACATCGTCAAAGTGCTCCTCTGGTATCTATCACTATGCTTTAGTTATGGTCTATGGCTTCATTCAATACTCTACTTACTTGATATAAGCTCTCAAGGAGACCAATCTGTAATAACTTCTTGAATTTCCATGATGAGCGATCATGGGCAAATAGATGGACATACTGAATAATGGCTGGCTTTACAGTTTAGACACTGCACATATCATGCATATTTCGATGTTACCTTCTAGTTTATTCTCTTTCTTGGCTGTCTCAATCTCTTTCTTAGTCTTCATTTCCTTCTTCTTCTTGGCTTTCTTTACTGGTTTGGCAGGAGTTTCTGTAGTCTCGGCCTCGGATTTGTCGGTGTCGGGTGTCTTTCTCTTTGGTGGTTTCTGAACAACAGGTCGAGAAGCCTTCTTGACAGGCTCAATGATCTCTTCATTGCCTGCATCATCAAAGGAAACATGCTTTGATTTCACTCCACTGTGCAAAATCTGTTTGGCCAGTTTCTTCGCTGTCATAGACTTCAGCAGTTTCTCTGCAGGTGTTAACTTGACATCTACTGATTTGGGAGACGCTGATTTGACTGTTGTAGCTTTAGTAGGTATAGTTTCTTTGTCTGTTGATTTGGTGGCTGCTGGTTTGGGCTCAGTACTCTTCTTAGCATTGACCGGTTTCACTTTGGCTTCTTTCTTGGTTACGTCCTTCATTTATGTTAATCACTGTTTAAAAGATGTCAGAATAATTTTGGGGCTCAAGAACCAGAAATATTAGAGGCTTATCTGTGGTTGCGTGCATATTTTGAAGGTCACAAATGAAAGAAACAAATTTTACCATGGTTGCAAATGACAAAATCAGACTAGAGTTACACTACAAAAACATAGAAAAGGATAAATTCTGCCTTGAAGGAATCTATACAGACTATAAGATCAAATTAGTATGCATGGATACTAAATTTGAAGCATTTTCAAGCATTTTTGTCCATATCACAGCTGTCAATAAATAACCTATTTCTATTCGTTCATTTTTCGGTTTATATTTTATCCTTATTTTAATGTTTTAATATCGAAGAATGGGATGTACCGTAATTGAGAGTAGTAGGTAAATAGAAGCAGTTGGGAACAGTAAACAGAATAGATCAAATAGACGTGGTAAGGGATTATATTAGAATAATCGCTCTTCACTTCAAACAATAAGAGAACTAAGGTCAACTGAAAAAACATACTGGACGTTAGACCAATCACTTAGACAGATCAAGGTACACGATCCAAGGATGCAACACGAATGGTAGAATTATAACGGGTAAAGGATGGTAAATGGTAGAAATAAAACGTTGATAATAGGATGAAGGGGGAAAGAGGGTAATGGGATAATGGTAAGGGAATATGGGAACGGTATAATAAAAATAAAGTAAGCTTGATCCATGGTATATATTAATTAAGTGCTGGAAAGTTGAGTATAAGGGTCGTGTGTTCAATTTCGGCAAGTGTGCAAACTGCACCCGGTAAACCGGCTACACCTCCATTCAATCCTAGAATATCGTGCAACAAACCATGCCAAACTGACTACTGCTTCATCTACTTACACCTTGCTTATAATATTACGATCGACACCAACTAAGAAACACTATCTCTACTATACTTCTTATTCTTACTACGTTGAACTCAATATGAGTTTACATCCAATTTAGCCTACAGCCTGTCAAAAATGTTAAATCCCAAGTGGATTAAGCTTATAATGTTATACAGGTTCTGATATAAGGTGCTTCAATAGATACTTCTTTGATGATGGATCAAAGAACCAGACTGAGTAATAGAAGTAATTAGAGGGTTGAAAGATGATGTTTATTTCTATGCATTTCAATGCATATTTATATGATTTGGATTATAAGATGTAGCATGATTTTGCATAGAATAATTAATAATACAGTGTGAGATAATAACATATAAAGAGTAGAAGTATGATGAATGGAAGTAGCTAGAATAGATATATAAGGAATAATAATATGATAATAATATGAAAGTAATGTGAGAATAATATGAGAATAAACAATAGAATATAGTCGTGATAATATAGAAGAGAGTATGGAAGAATCAAATGAAAATAGGAGCTACTGGAAAGCATCAGATTATCAGGAGTACTAAGGATTGAGGATTCTAGAAGACAGTTCATAAGGGCCGTTGCTATAAAGAGTATCATTGTGCCATCTTGCGTCTTGCTCTTTTATTGGCTGGAATCTGTGGCTTGAATCTACGTTTATTGGTCCGTACAGGCACGTGAGGGAAAAGTGGACTAGGCTCATAGTGATAGGGATTTTGGTAATCGACAAAAAATATATGGTTTCTTGGTGTAGTTGGTTATCACGCCTGTCTAACACACAGGCGGTCGCCAGTTCGAGTCTGGCAGAAATCATTTTTGTTGGTTGTTTTTATGACAGGATCAGATATGATTAATAATAAATATAACAGCTTTTTGGTCAGATAGTGTCAATGTTAGTTGCTTCATAACTAATTGTATGATTTATAATATTCTTTTGATTGCTTGTTAATTGTCCATTATATCATTTCTTATTAAAGTTTGATTTGTATAACTTGATAAAAATAGGCGGCATGTTTGTTTTGATGTTGCTTCGAAACATTAACAAGATCCAAAACTGTTATTTTTCATAGCTTTGAATTTCTAGCCCTACTTCTGTTACAAACAACAAACTGCCACAATCCTAATTAAATATATACAAAAAAGTTATTTGACAATTAAACATGATTATTTCATCAGTAATCCATTAGATTATTTGCCAAGTTCTAAGAGCGGAGGAGTTCTGTTCTGGTTTGGCCCAGCATAATTTCTCTGTGTCCGTAACAAAGAAAAGAGGATCAATAAAGCTTCTGAAAGTATCCAAGTGCTGCCAGTATAAGAGGGGACCATAAAGCAAGAAACTCTGTTTTTATCACCAAGCATCAAGACATCTTTGATAGTAACAGTGATACATTACATAAGAAGTAGACCATAGAATATGAGATCAGTAAAAACTGACACTAACCTGCACAAGTTAAGCGTCAGGAAACCATCGAATAGCTGATAAATTGCATTAATAAATTGTAACTTGGATAGATTTATTACAGAATACATGATAAAATGGCTAAAATGGATGTCTATGTCATAGTACGAAAAGCAATTTTGTTTAATAGACGATGTTATAGACTAGCCTTGAACAAGTGGAAAAGATAAGGTTACCCTCAGAGGTTTCATAATCAAATGTTCGGGTATCTGTTCATATTTTACTTTCACAATATGCATATTTGTAAATTGTATCTATTAGATGGTGAGATGCTCATTGTATCCTTTAAATTATGATGTTGTATAGGAACATACTCTATTGTTCATTACCTCCCCATATTCAGCAATATCTTTAATCCCGAGATAGAGTTGGTTTTCTCGATCATGAATACAAGGACTGTATTCTCTTCAACTCCTTTGACCTATTGCTTCACCTCTGATCTCAGATAAATATCAAGATCCATAATTACCCCAGAAGTCATCTATTGTCTCTTTCCCCCCTCCATGAACTCCTTTACCTCCTTTCTACCCATGTGTTAAATCATTATTCTAATCTGCTATCACTATTCTCCCATTCGATTGATGAACAATTTCCCCAATTTCTCGATTGGTGCTTTGTCAAATAGCATTCTATGTCCCTTATATTATATCCATCTTCCACACACTCCTTTTTTTGGCAGGCAAAATAATCCGATACTCACCTATTTCAGATGTCTGTACTATAATCCCCTTGATTCGTTTTCTGTAATAAGAGTGGCGATGATTTCAAGACTATCCTAGCTAAAGGTGATATGCCAATTAGGGAGTAATCATTTAATACACTCGACACTGGAAATACAACACTTATCAATGATGAAATGTAACTTAGTACTACTCTATTTGTGCCATCGAAGGCATGTGCTTCATTAATTATGCCTCATAATTCAAGATACGTGTCAATACTCTAGAATCTCCTATTCATACAAATAAGAACTAGTTTTAATGGCTATACTTACCCTATCACTAAGATGATGAATAACTGCCTTTATTATTGACATTGTGATGAATATGATTGGATAATAATATAGTTCCGAGGGTGGAGTTCTACTACTTCGAAATGGTTCCACGTATGATTTCTATCTGATTTCAAATAAAAATTGGATATAAACTCTTATTTATTAACTATATCTCTCCTTAATAATAACAATAATGCGTGTATCCACCGTATTATTATACACACTGAGTATAGCCATACTCCTCATATCACCCACTACACAGCATAAAGTAAAAGGACCCAGTAGACCACTCCAGGATCCAGCACCCGTCAGTTTCGTCGAAGATGTACTTTCTACTAATGAGAGTCAAGATTACTGCAATGTACGAGCTATTCACTTTTATTCTACTGTATACTAATAGAGTTATATGCTTATTAGCCTCGGGGACAGATCAAGGATACTTGCTGTGACTATCAAACAATAGAAAGTGTCCAGAAGGAGACTTTCTCGAGGATACAAGCACTTGTCAAGACTAAATTCTTTCGTTATTACAGAGTATGCAAATTACAAAACAGTGTGTTTATTCCATCTTATTCACTTGTATGTTTATAGGCTGATCTTTGGAAGGAATGTCCTTTTTGGAATGAAGATGCCTTATGCATCAACAAAGACTGTTCAGTGGCCACTATTGATGAGGTAAAAAGAAACAACATTGTGTTTATTTCTGATATCTCATCTTGTTTTACTGTGTGTAGACAGTTCTGCCTACGGACTGGAGAAAAGAAGCATTGAGTGCTATTCGATTATCACCCAATGGAGCTGTAAGTGAATTAGAAAAGATGCATAAGTTATCCTTATTCTTACACATTTCAAAGTTATTCCAACCATTCCAAGAGTTCTGCAATTACAAAGACCAGGATTTCTGTTTAGTGGACGATCAACTGGATTCAGACAGTATTGTCTATATTGACTTGACCGAAAATCCCGAAAGATTTACTGGTTATGCCGGTCCATCTTCCGCAAGAGTGTGGAAGGCTATTTATGAAGAGAATTGCTTTGACATTGTTCATCAAATGACAGAGGGATGTGAGACATGTAATAATATTATGAACATGGGTACCAAATCCAAGTCACCACTTATCAACAAGAACACATTTGCACCAGTTCCCAACACAAAGTCAGGATTACATCAATTCTTGACAGATCTTGCTGAGGAATCAGATGGTGGGAACAAGGATGGGGAAGAAATATGCCTAGAGAAGAGAGTCTATTATCGACTGATCTCCGGTCTACATTCTTCTATATCTATCCATATTTGTGATGAATGGTTTGATAGAGAGAAAGGAGTTTGGGTAAGTGATGAGTAGATAGAGGGATCATGGCAATTGTATTCTAACCAAAGAAGAAAATAGGGCCCTAACCTGGATTGTTTCGTGAATCGTATTGGATCTCATCCTGAAAGACTTCAAAATGTATATTTCACCTATGCTCTTCTCTTGAAATCAGTCAAAAAACTAGGCCCTTATTTGGAACACTATGATTATCGTACAGGTGATGCATTAGAGGACAAGAAGATTGGTGCGATGGTACAAAGTTTAATTAAAAGCACTGACTTATGTCCATCTACTTTTGATGAGAAATTGATGTTCAAAGGACCTGGTGCTTCTGTTCTGAAACAAGAGTTCAGAGATCATTTCCGTAATGTGTCTAGAATCATGGACTGTGTTGGATGTGAGAAGTGCAGATTATGGGGTAAACTGCAGACAGTTGGATTGGGAACTGCTTTGAAGGTGTTATTTTCATATGAAGATCAGTCATTGAAGTAAATGGTATTGTTGTACGAATACAATGTTTACTCACCTTTTCATTTTTATTTTAGTCCTATCACTAATCCTGACCTGTTTGAGAGAGGAGAGATAGTTGCTTTGTTTAATACATTCAATAGACTATCAGAAAGTTTGAATGCAATCCAGAAGTTCAGAAAGATGTATATGAAGCATATGACACCAGAGAAAGTAAGTGAAAAAATTGTTGTTTAATAAAATGTTTCATCTCTCAATAACACTATGTACATTAGGCTCTATCAAGGAAGATGATAGACTCCGTTAGACCTGTCCTTATGAATATATTCAGTCAGTTAAAACACTGGAATATACCCATACCATCAGTCATTGAAACCCTTCTTCAATAAAATAAATTATAGTTCAAATAATCTAGGTAGTATGTAATCTATTCTTTGTAGACCTGCTTCTGTGGGTCTAATTCCGCCCCCCTCCCACTCAGACATGAGTTCAGCTGGTACAAATGCATGGTTACCACTGAAGCCACTTTCATCAATAAGTAGCTTTGAGTCCACAAATAATTTGAGTGCATCCTTATTGATGTACTATGCAAAAGAGATTTAAATCTATTAATAAATCTACTATTAGAATGTCTGTACACCCCATACCTGTTCCAAAGAAAGTCCTTGTGTCATAGTTGTAAACCTTGCTCTGGTGATTCCCATGCGTGTTCTCATCCCAAACACAATCAATTCCTGCAATCTCGGTCAGAAATAGACTTACACATAAAGTATGTATAGTTATCATCATACCTCTGCCATCTCTTGTATCGGAATAGGTGCTAGTTTCCGTATCCTATATGAATATATTTAATACCTTATAAAACACACATATATACGCTTACCCTTCCCCTTCATTTTCACATAGACTCATATATTTATTGGGGTGGAACTCCTGAATAATAATAAAAAAAAAGTGATCAGCTATAGTATATATTCAATGATCCAAACTTACTCCAAATGTTCTAATACGTCTATTTGTTGTTTGATCGGTCAGCCTACCATGCGATCCTGGCCCTATTCCTGAATAAGGATTGAGTAAATAAATCCCTCACAACTGTTAGTTTTATTCATCTAACCTAAATAATCCATTCCCTGCCAATATGAAAAGTTGTGGCGACCTATAGCCTGCTGGTTTTTGGCGTAATTGGATACTTCATAATGATGATAACCAAACTCTGTTGCTATTCTTATTGTCTCCTCATGCATATCAGCTATAATATCTCCTTCTGGAACTGGTGGAATTAGCCCTTTCCTCAACTGCTTATCTATTCTATATATGGAGGGTATGTCTAGAGTGTATATATAATCACAGAATTCAATAGCTTACGGTGTACTCCTCTCTATTGTCAATTGATAAATAGATATATGATCGCCTGCAATCGACAAGGCAGTTGTTAATTCCTTCCTCCAATCTAATTATATAGAAAGAAAATTACAGGTTTATTGTATCACATAGGATATAAATAACACAATTACCTTCCAAAGACTGCCCTGGTCTTGCATAAATTAGATCACACGACACCCTCTCTGGGCGGAAT